CTTCCTTTGAAAATGACTTGAAAATTTCTGAAATATGGATCAGCAATATGTCTTCTTAAATATCTGAATCGTCAAGACTCAGTGATTCTCAAACGTTAAAGACATAACATCTACTAATTATATAAAGCGAAATCTGTAGAACAGTAAAAATTCTTCAATTAATCATAAGAATTAAGAAAAGATGGTTAATTCTGTAGATTTCAGGTGGAACTCTTCACATAATCACATTGTTTCCGCCAAATTTGATCGAAGGACTGTCGAAGGTTTTGTACGAAAATCGAAAATTATACTGAGGTAGCGTTTATTGAGTCCGCTCCGCTTTCTTTTTTTCACATGGGTGCTTATCTTGAAAGCCTATATAGTTGAAGTCCCGCTTGGAGGGATTTATTTATTTGTTTATTTATGACGTCACATAAGGCAGACGTGAGAAAGCAAAACAACAGCATTTCAACCACAACTATGAGTAACTCAACAAAACCTTCTCAGCGAGGCGTTTGAAGTGCATAAAAGCAAAAGCGAGTAGTGCTACTTTTGATTCATGAGAGGATTGTGTTCAATCAAGACTTCAGAACGAAATAAGACCCAAATCTTTAGTCAGGAGTTTTCGACTCACTTCTACGAAAGCTTCGCCCTTTTTGTAGAAAAAGGAAGCCTACAAATCCCTGATGGTTTTCCCCAAGCCAACAAAATATTTTGAATTCTTCCATTATTATATTATGAAATAATATAAACTACGACATTTCAGAGATCAAGCTGATCTGTTGATGACACGACTGAATCAGCTCGGTGTACCTCTCGTGGTCTTCTCGGCCGGAATTGGAAATATCATCGAGATGTATTTGGAGCAACGACTAGGTCAAATCCCATCAAACATACGGATAATTTCGAACATGATGAATTTCGACGAAAAAGTATGTGTTAATTTCGATTAATATAATATAATAGTAAAGTGGAAGTTAGTGAATGAACAACTTTGGATGCGCCACCTCTGTGTCTCATAATCACACTGTTCTGAGATTGCGAACTTGTTTGAATGCGTGCTTGGCCTAGAAAAATGGTTACTGGCTCAGGAGACGTTTAATGAATGCTATTTGCCGCTGCTTGTGTTTGAGAAACCTCATGAAAGGAAGGCTCGATTGTCATGAGTGGATTCGGATCTCCAGATAACGTATGGTG